TGAGCTCGGTTTGACATATTGCTATTTTTAAAATATATGCAGCAGGATATAAAGAATGCTGTTGACCAGTAAAGGTGGTGGCGTAAGGTAATGAAAGAGACATAAGTTGTCGATTAATGAAGTTTCGGCGCGCACCAGTTGCGTTTTAAGCAACCCCATTTAGCGGACGTTTGCTGATAAGAATGCACACTGCTTTATAGTTTGACATGTGCAAAAATCGTTGAAATACTGTGTGGTCCTCGAGGCAGAAAATTTTCACAAAAATTTTACGTGTCCCTAGAGACGCGAGCATACATGGAGCTGTGTTTGAATTTACAAGGTGGCACATAGTTACGAAGCACCTTTGTGAAATTTCAGCCTATCTTTTCTGGTCCTTGAATTAGAGAATTCCCATCAAAATTTTCACATGTCCGCACCCGAGAACCAGGCGTATGTGGAAAAATTAAATTTATACTTGCGTGTTCCATACGTGGTCAAGAAAAATTCTTTGTAATTTCGGCGATTTAACTTTCCTGGTCACTGAGCTGGAAATTCCGGATAAAATCCGAACACTCATACATGTATAAACAAACATCTTGACAGTGTACGTTTTACACCGAAACAGACAGGATCTTAACAATATACAACGCAGAATCATTAAAAAAGTTAAAAGCTTTCATTAGCTAAGTTCCATACACCTAAACCCCTGAAAACGCACACGTAAAATGTGTTGTTGGAATTGTTCGTGTGTGACAAACAGCTTCTTTGAAATCACCTGTTGTAAAGATGAGATTTGCATCCTGACAAATGCAGCATCTTATTAGCTTGGCAATTGTTCTGTTGCAGTAAACGATTCGAATGTACAGTTCCTGGATCAGGACGACGATGACGATCCGGACACCGAACTCTACCTCACACAGCCTTTTGCCTGTGGCACTGCATTCGCAATTTCCGTCCTCGATTCTCTTATGAGCACCGTAAAATTTTCTCTTTGTCACAACTGAACTTCAAATTTCTCCCCCTTCCCTCGCCTGTCCATTCTACTCTTCGCATTTTTTGCAGACGTACTTCAATGATTCGGCGCTGACACTGATAAGAACTCTGGTCACCGGTGGCGCCACTCCTGAACTGGAGCTGATACTAGCTGAAGGTGCAGGCTTACGGGGTGGATACAGCACCCCTGAAACACTGAACAACCGAGATCGATGTAGGATATCACAGTTGGCTCTGCAAGACCAGCCTTTTGAAGGAATTACGGTAAGTGGTTTCCAGTAAACGAAGCGTTCTCCATGCATCACCATGTAACATGTGTTTTTTGTATTTCCATGCTCATCCCCATCAAAAAACACATACAAAATGTACTTTTTCAGACGGGTAGCTCTTATGGACAGATGTTCAGTATAGCACTGAAACGGCACGGGCAGCTTTGCATTGGCTTGTACCGGCTACACGATCAAGCCGCAGTTGACTCGAACAAGCGTTACGTAATAACGAATCCACCAGCGGAACTGCGACTACTGTTGAGCGATTATGTGAGTTCGACTTTTCCAAAGGCTTTTTGCTAAAACCGCCAACTACAACTATGTATTGATGTAAGCAGGAAGAGTGGCTATTTAAACTATGATTGAAAAGGACTAGATTTAAAGAAATGTTCTTTTTTCCAGGTGTATGTGCTGGAGCAGTTTGATCCAGGGCTTGAATATGAGCCAAGAAAAAATTTTTTATAATACACATAACTCGTTCTTTGTTGTTTTTCTTTGAAAATAAAATTGCTGTTCTCTACACAGTGCCTACTGAACCCTGTTCCAGAAATCGTGCACAAAAATCCAATAACGGACATCATAAAACAAACACAGATTTCATCTTCTGCGAACTTTTCTTGCACGAATGATTACTTCTTTTTTTCACGTATATCTTAAGATTTATTTTCAGCGACTG